GAGTGAATCAAATGGCTGTAAATGACAGAACACTTTACTTGGAAGAGCACCACAGCAAGGAAGTTTTTCAGGCGAGATTTTCGGAAAATCCGTTTCCCAAGATTTTTAGCTCTTTTTAGGTGATAATAATCGAATTTTGCAATGTTAAATAACTCATTTGATAAAGCTTCAAATTCTTAACAGGGGCAATCTTTCAAAATTTTAGCGGTCTTCAAGAAACAGTGGTACTGAAATGTTAGCGGGAGGAACCAAACTATTCCAAGTAATCCCCGTACGGCCCTATGATCAACTAATGACCATTTTCATCTAGTTTTTAGATATAAAAACTCATAAAAATATTAGAAAATGTTATTTTTGTGCAAAAATGTATGAAAAGTAAAAATTTTCGAATTCTCAATGTTTCTCAAATTTGTTTATAACGTGTATCCCCGTCCCTCCGCTAACAGTCCAGTACCGCAACAATTTCCCAACATGCCCATTTTTCGAAGCGCCGCCCAAATCTCGAAGAACTCGACGCTTCCAATCCAGGTTTTCTCCAAACCCGTGGTCGTTCAGTAGCTTTTGAAAGCGGAAACTGGTTCAAAGTTTCAAGCTCTATCGAATAAGATATATGACATCGCAAAACTTGGGCCTGGTAACGGCGTAAGTTTCGTTTGCTTCTCTAACGCAAGCTATTCTATGTTTCTAGGCTCTAGGTTTCTCCCCCTCTACTTCCCTATCAATAACCGATGCACGGAAACCCGGGCCCACGCATCAAATAATCATCGAAAGTGGCGTGAGAAGTGCTGGAGGCCGTTCTCCAAGCGCGCCACCACCGCAAAAAAACGATACTCCCGCATACGTAGGATAGGGAATTTCTCAGATTTCTTGCTTTCCAATTTTTTTGCTGGAATTTCCGGGGGTTAATAGATGACCTATAAACTCTTAGCTTTTCGTTTTCCGCCGAAAGGCGCGCCGTATTTTATGCGCGGCACTTTATCCACTTAGTTTTAGACCTGAAAGTGCCATGGCGATAAATATAAATCCGATTTTTCGACGCATTAGATTCCGCGTGTTTTGCGCGTGTATGCCCCCTGCCTTACTGGATTTTAATGGCGTTGCTATGAAGCGTAGCCGCGATTCCCATAGAGCCGATGTGTTTAGGCATTCTGTTTTCAGAGACGATGATGATGATACACCGTAGTTTGGCGCCGCGATTCAGATTTTCCGACACTGGACTAGTAGCATGGGGAAAAACAATTTTTTGTTCTCCGCCTATGTTTAGCTGTTAATCATAAATAGCGTATTTTTATAATGGTTTGCGGAGCTTTTAATTGCTAGGAAGTTACAAAAAATATTTTAAACAGTTTTGAAAATTCGAACATCTGACCTTTTTGGTCATTTCCATCCATTTTTTGACCAAAAAGTGACTTTTTTTAGAATCTTTCTGAAGTTTTTCTATCTAAAAACTGTGTAAATTGTTTAAAATGCTATAATAATGGTTGAAATTTTGTTATAGGACCGTAGAGGATTACTGGGAAAAATTCCCATTTTCTTTCAAGCATGCCCATCCAAAAATCACCCAAAAACGCCCCACCCCAAAAAGCCATTTTCCGGACCCCTCGGCTTTCCATTAATACCAGCTCTTGTAGGCCCTAATGGGCCCTCATTCATTAGTATTATTGGGCCGGCCGGGTGACTAGCATTGAGGGCTTCCTCCCTGATTCGGGACTAGGGGATCAGCCCCGTTTTGACCGATAAATCCGGGTCTAATCCGGCGCGAAAATGGCAAGCCTTGACCCCCCACGCACCGTATGCCGCCATTCATCGCCGGAAACGGGCGAAAAACATGCATGTTGCCATCAGGGTTCTTTTACGGTAGCTGTTACGCCGGATCCCGCCCCCAGATGGGCGTTTTTTGGAGTATTTAGGCAGCGAAAAATGCCGCACGGCTCGCGCAGCTTCAGTAATGAATGTAAATGTAGGTATCTAGACCCTAAAATGGCCCGCTTTTCATAAAGTTTATTAAATTACTTTTTCATAAAAGTTTACGGTACTGGACTGTTCAAGGAGGAAAACCAATATTTGTTTTTCCGTTTATAGATACCTGTTAATAATCACAGTGTTCTCTTTTTGATTGCTAGAAAGTTACATTGGTGAAAATTCGAAATTTTTGACATCTTTGGTCATTTTCATACATTTTTGACCAAAAAGCGTAAAAAATTTTTGCAAAAAATTTGTTAGTATTTTAATGAGCTGTTTATATCTCAAAAATATGTAAAATGGTACAAAAGCGGTTGATGTTACGTACAGGATTACTCGGAAAAATTAGTTTTCTCCTCTGCTGAAACCACCATCCCCTGCTAATAGCCCAGTAGTACCAACCTTACTTTTAGAGTTTCCTTTTAGTGAGTTTACATTCCTGTTCAATATAACCTTCTAAGACAGCCTTATTAATTTTGTTGTCTGTTAAAAGCAAAACAAACACGCCTCCACACCGTCCATTACGTTTCCGCTTACGTAACGCCGGCGCCGTATTTTGCACCGAGTTTAGGTGACTGAAAACTTCTACAATGTCGCCGCCGTCCAGGGGCTTCTGCCGTGTATTCCGCGCATGAAATCCCTTGAAAAACATTGCCGCTTGGGGCGTCGCCTCATTCAGACCGTCTTCTGCGCACCACGCACGGATTAGACGCCTCGGCCTGACGGTTGCGTCTCTTGAAAGCTTAAGAAAAAAAAACACTGTTGTTTATCCCAACTTGGCCAGATATAAGATGCACCCACCGGGGTTGTTTCAGCAGTTTTTGGCCCGTAAGGTCTCGACTTTGCAAACCTGGACTTAAAAACGTATTAATCTTTGTCGACCGCCGCGGAATTCGATCCTGGGCGACCAACATTTGGACGGGTTCAGTAAACATCGCTGGAATTGTTGCCATTTTCCCCAATTTTATCAGTTTTTTTACCGCGTCGACCGCAAGCTTTTTCCTTGGCCTTGCTTTTCAATACCGAGCTCCTTATTTTATTTTGTAGTTTTAATAATAATTTCTTTGTAGCCCCGACAATGCTTGGTAAGCTGTGGCTTCTCCTCTGCGCTCTCCTTGTGGCCATCATCACAGCCGCCCCCTACAGCATGGAGATGGACAAGCGGTAGGTGTTATTTACTGGGTAGAATTTACTGCAAGTTACAACCCAACGGCGGGCTCAAGACGCTGAATCTCACATTCAAAGGCCCTGAAATTACTCTAGATCTAGGCTGAGAAGCTTTCTCTATTTGATGTCGCCTGGCCGGCGCGGGGTCAATTACCCTAGAACACGCATCGAGGACGTCGCAACGTTGTTAGCGAGACAAATCAACGGCACTGGGATAAACCTAATAGGCTATACTGGAGAATCTCTAGCGCTTTTTGCTGACTCATAGCTCTCTTTTAGAAAACTAAATCAAATACAAGAGTAGGAGATTTATAAAAACAAACTCAACCGTTTTTTAGAATGTTGGGTGGCGCTGCTTTTGGAGGTTTGGACCAGTTCAACGGACTCTGGAGGTGAGGATTGCAAAAGTAGAACTTTTTCTTGTTAAAAAAACCCATAAAAAACTACAAACCACGTTTTCTAGACAACAAAACGTACAGCCGGTGAAGAGGAGCCCGCCCATCTATGGATTCGGTAAGCCAAAAGCGTAAAATGAAGCCGGTTCTTTAGGAAACTTCGCCCGACAATGGCAAATGCAAGGCTAACCGCCGGCCGCCCAACATAATGCACCCTTTGCACCAACGAAATCCCCGGAAGACAACGATGAAAGAATCCAACAGTTTCCAATCCCCGATAGTCGCTATAAATATTTGTTATGGATATTTTCTTTTACAACGAAGAAGAATTTGTTTAGCGTGTAGCAAACTTGGCGATATATGGAAAACGCTGTGATCTTATCGAAAGAAAGTAATCGACATGTCATTTCACAATCCATGCGCATAGAAAACATTAACAAACGGGTATTATACTATTAAAACGCATTTTAATAAAGTATCGCGAATAGTGCAATATTAGAATTTTTTTTTACTGGACCGCGCGCGCCCTCTTCCAATTTTCGGCCCTCGAGCATCTCTTTTACGCGTTTGCAATTAGAAATTGTTAGAAGCCCGCATATAACTCTGCCAAAAAGGATATTTCAAGTCTTCTAGCCTATTTAAACCCGCGCAAACGCAAAAACCAAACAAAATTGACTTTTCCAAACTTTTTTCCTCTTTTTTCCATCACGTTCTCTTGATATTCGTCCTTGATTCACCTAATTTTTCCATTCCAGATGGGAGACCTCGTGATTGCCGTAGACTCCAGTGATGATGGCGCTGAATCCAACTACGAATCGGTCAACGACGGTGAAACTGGTGATGCTGATCAAGACGCCGAGACGTTGCGCAGAAATCAAGAATACTGGCGAAACTTCGACCCGAAATGCTTCCTGGACATTGGCATCGAGGACGCTGACAAACTGATCGCACTGACCACCGAGATGCAAACGCACGGCCTGCGCATGTTTCCGCACAATTATGGAGCATTGCCGGCGAAGAAGCTCGAGTTTGTCGCCGAGTCGTTGAAGCTGCTTCACGAGGGAAATACTTACTTCCAACCGGATGTGCGATATCGTCTCCTGATGGGCATCAAGAAGGAGGAGGAAGGTGATGTAGACGCGAACGAAAACGTCAAGAAAGAAGTCGATAGTGAACGAGGTGAGCAAGACGGAGAAGACGATGACGCGGCAGAGGAGCCGCCAAAGAAGAAACTGCGCGGATGCATAAAACGACGTGGAGCGGCCGGAAAGCGGCGCGGAAGAGCAAAGAAACTGTAAGCAATCTGTTTTCGCTTTTGCACACTTTATTATGATATTTTGGAATGGTATGATAGGATTGTGATAAATTTGTTGTTGAAACTGGCTTCATTTCCAAAGCAATAACAGCGTAGATACGATAGTTAACTTTATTAAGCACGAATAAGCAAGCATTAGCAAAGTGGGGGCTGGTTTCTCATTTGGTCTTCCGCGCCGACCGGACGGCGTCCTTGCTGTCGTTGTTGTTGCCGGGCTAGGATCGGTAGATATGGTTTAGGACCGCCAACCTACCTTCACACAATACGCCGGCCATTTCTCGTCAACCATCAACGCGGTCAGCGTCACGTATTCGGGGTTCGCCTCCTGAAATTTGTTATAGGAAACGCACCAAAGCTCTTACTTCAATATCCGTCAGCTCGCGTTGGACGAGATTCTTTATGGGCTCTATCGCGTTGTAGATGACCTCGTAGTTGGCGAGGTTCTGAGAATAGGGTCTTCGATTTTGTTGCGGTATTTACAATTGGGGAGGAGGCGCGCTGCGTCTTGTCCGACTCGTCCGTCTTGTCGGGCGGGTGGTTGACCGAGCCCTAAATTGGTTATTTTAGGCAAAAGTGGTGCCAGCATGCCTGCGTCGCTTCGGTGCACCCTTTCGTCTTGTGCGCTCGCTTGGGCTCTTTCTAAATGTTATAAATGCGTGAATGCATCGATGGCAAGACGAAACGAAGAAATGTAAAAGGTACAATTTTACAAACCACCGGAGGTTTCTCCTTCTTCTCATCCGAGCTGTTCGGCTGTGTGGGCTGACTGCTCGGGACCGGCGAGCTGGAGAGTTTAGGGTGTGACTGCGCCGATGGTCGCGGCTTTTTGGGGGCTGCTTTGGGTGGTGGTGCTGCTACCGGGACCAGCTCCTTCTTGGGACCTTTGCACATCTTTCGACCTGGAATTTGAAACGAAAATGCAGATTCATGAGTTTTTGGACTTACCGAAGTTAGTTTAGACTGGATAAATTTTAAGAAAAAGTATGAAATGGATTAGAGAGTTGATTTTTAGGGATTTATACTGCATCCGCGATGCTTATCGTGTTTCCGACCATTTTATGTAGATTTTAAGGAAGTAAATTTGCTTTCCAGGAAAGTTGCAATTTTTCGTTGTTTGACGATACTGTAGGCGGTTTCGTGTTGCCATCCTGACGGCGCTTTTGACTGGTGGCCGAAAAGCAAACACTAAAAAAAAAGGCGTGAAACGGCGTCGGCCGTCGACGCTTTCGTCCTTATCAACTGGTCGAAGCTCGTGGAGAACTGATCCCTGGTCATAAGTAGGGAGTTCGAGATCGCTGGGTATTTTTGGGGATTTTTTGGCGCATAAATCATAGCGTTTTCTCTTGGAGTTTTGACGACTTGGAGGCTGGGTTTTAAGAATTAGTTGAAAAACGTGAAGACTACGTCGAAACTCGAGGGGGAAGTTAATTTTTCTAGTTTACCGCCTATAACCACCGATTAAAATTGTATTCTTCCCCCACATTTTTTACCAAAATTCGGATTTTTCGACGATTTTTTTTGTTTTTATGAGCTTTTTATCTCTAAAAAACGTTGTCCATGCCATAATGGTTTATGTTTATGTTACAGGGCGGAATTAGTCGGAAAAACGCCTCCCCCCGGTAAACGGTAAGCACCATAATTTCTAGAATTATCATATCGTAAACCAATTTTTCATAGATACTTTTAAATTGCATTAAATTTTGTTATTCTAGTTTAAGTTGTCTAGACATGCATTTTTAGTCCTTTCCCATTTCCATTGAACGGCTGGAGCAATACGTAGGTCGTAAAGTGACACCTAACGGCCACCTGTAACCGCTCGATGGCTCGATGCTCAATTCCAAGGTTAAACCGTATTTTCTCGCTTTTCTATTTCTAAAAATCACTGGTTTTGGGATACCCTGCTCAAAATAAATTAATACAGTCGATTCAGCTTTCGCCGCCATTTCACAGCACCCACCCCACCCCGAGCCGCCTATCAGTTTGCTGTTTATTTGTGAGGTGCCCACGCTGGTGCCCTAAAAATTGACCTCGCATCAGCCGGCACAAAAAAATGGGCGAATACAAACATCATTGAGACGCGCTCTGTGGGGGGCCCTTCTTTTCTGCCGGACAGATTCCATTTTTTGCCGGCTTTGGAAGGAAAAGCCGTCGGGAAAGTTGGTGAAATTTTGTGTCCCGGCATTTCGGAAATCGTGGGGGTCGTCTTGGTTTCTGATGCCGCTAATTCGCAGGGCTAGCGGAAGCTCGGGTTCAATTTTTGGTTATTGTGAGATTTGATGTCGTAACTGGATCGTGGATAAGTTCTTGCCTTCCAGGCACAAGGCCCGGGTTCGAACCCTGACTGGTGAGCAGAGTTTTGCTTTTTGGCCATATTTGAGGGCGACGAGATTCCGGTGCTGGGATGTTAGCGAGGGGGGGGGGAAGGAGGTGGCTTTCACTAATCTTTCCGCTATACATACCTCGTAATAACAATGATGTATTTTTATACTGTTTTTAGTCGTTTTTGATCGCTAGACAGTTAGAAAATATTTTGCAAATTCGAAAATTCGCACTTCAGGCCTTTTAGAAAAAAAAATGAAAAATACGAAAATAGTTGGTGATTTGAATGAAAAAATAGGAAATAGATGATTTATGGTTGTATGAGTTTCTATACTAAAAATCTTTAGAAAATACTATAAAACAGATTTATATAACGTTTTGGGCCATACGATATTACTGGGAAAAATTTGGATTCCCCCTGCCAATCCCCCCCCCCTCCGCTAACAGACCAGTACCCTAAAATCTCGCGGATTTTTTGAAAATAAAAATCTGCAAAATCCGGGTTTAATCTTCAAATTGAGCAACGCGAGTCTTCGTGCAAAAACCGCCCCCCCGTTAACAGTCCAGTACCCAAAATTCTATAGTCAGGTTTTGCGCGATACTTGAAAAGTATTGCCTTTACCATACCGAAATCGCCTTTGACTTTGTATCTTGAACTCCCCGGTTCCCAAAGGTCCTGCTCCTGCTCCTCCCCTACGCGCGACATGTCACAAATTTTTGAGGGTAATTTTGACGAATGGGCCATGGGTAGGGGGTAGGGGGAGGCTCGTATGATCAGATAGGCTGCGGCTTTTTGTGGGTACAACCGAACGGTCCTCCCCAACCCAGCCAGACGATATAAAGAACCCACGACGGGGGAGGGAGGGTCCTCAAGCTCCTTCCATCATCCACCTCCTTCTGCTGCTCCTCCTCCTCACCCACATCCCAACGGTCCTCCTCCCCCGATCGAGGTGCGCGATACAGGGGCAGTGGCTGATCGGCTTTGACATGTTGTTCGAGACGCTTCTCACGAGAGACGCTGGCACCCAGCCACGCAGTCGACAACTTGTTCCCTTGGACCCGCCGAGGGCGCATCGCGTCATTTTGAGGGCGTTCGGAAAACAAGTAGTTTCTATAGATTTCATCTAGTATTTTTGCGGGTTGCTTTCAAAATGTCGAAATCATACCTTTGAAATTTCCTAATTTCAAAATTCGTAAAGTCGAAAGTCATAATTTAAAACTTATTACTGTCGAAACTCATAATTTCAAAGTGCGTACGCTCGAAATTTCATAATGCAAATTTACATAGGCAGATTTCAGCAAAAACCTCCCAAATCTTACAAAAAATTAAAAATATTGAATTTGCGAATTTATTAATTTCGACATCATGATAGCAAATCCCCTTTTACTGATATATACTTCTTTCCAGATGTCATTTTTGTGGCATTGTTTCCGGGACTGGACTGTTAGCAGGGGGGGAAACCAATTTTTTTCCGCAGTAATCTCGTAAGGCCCTATAATATAAAAAATTCGCGATTTTTATGACATTATGCACAGTTTTTAACGGCAACAAGATCATAAAAATATGAAAATTTGTGGTTTTTTGCTCAAAAATAATTCTATTTCTTTTTTGCTCATATTACTTTTTCTCTGAATCCAATTTTATGCCGCATTTTTCCTTCTTTTTCACAAACGTTTAAATTTTTGCTATTTTAATCTATGAACTTTTCCAGTAAAACACAAAAATGGTGCTGGCCGACGTGATAGCGCTGGCGATGGTGCCGATCAATTTGGTGTGGGAGATCATCCGGGCCGTCTGGTTCAACGTGTTCGACGGGCGTTTCATGCCGGTCAAGGACCTTCGTGGAAAGGTGGGTTCCAAGTTTTTTTGCGCTACGCGAGGCGTCATTGTACGCTGTTTCTTTGTGCGCTTGGCGGAGATTCTCATTTTTACTCCTTGAAGACGCTGAATACAGCGTTTTTGGCCCAAATAAAGCGTCATTTATTCATAACGGAATTGGCCGGTTTAAAAGAGGTGTGACTAATTTCCCAGCCTTAAACTGCAGAAAAATATGATTTATTTAGAAAATCATTTCCAGAAAGTACTACTAACGGGCGGGGCGATGGGGCTGGGGCGCGAGATGTGCCTGGCGCTGGCGACGAAGGGCGTCGAGCTGATCATCTGGGACATTGACGAGAAGGGCGCCGAGGAGACGGCACGGATGGCACGCACTAATGGCACAAGGGTCAGTTGGTTATCGCCATTTCTCCAAGTTTTCAAGGGCTTTCGTTTCCAAAATCTCTCCGGGACCCAATTTTAGCCGAAATTCGTGGTTTTGGGGTCTTTGAGCTGTTTCGTCAATATTTAGGTATCTAGACAGGTGTTCACAGTATTCAGACGTACATAAACACCCTCATCACCCCATGGGTACACTGTTCCAAAATAGGTGCGCCCGCCACCTCACTTTTTGTGAAGTCAATGGGGTGTGACAGGCACATCTCGGGCTCAATCTCGACCAGGAATTTTTGGACTCACCCGCCTCTTACGTGCTGATTTCAGGTACACGTGAGACGCGTGGATCTGGCCAGCCGAACAGACATTGAGGCCGCCGCCAAGGAGTTCAAGGAGAAGCACGCCGAGCCGGACATTAGTGCGTGAATAGTATACATATAGGGTTGGGTTATTAGAAGAATAGTGGTGATATGCAAGTAATTTTGAGCTTTTTTAGTCATTAACAACGCTGGGATCGCGCAGCAAAAGTACTTTGCCGAGAAGAAGGACCACTTGATCGAGGCGACGATTCGGGTCAATTTGTTGGCGCATTTCTGGGTAAGAACTTTGTTATAAATTGTTTTATTTGGGTGTATTTGACCTTAACTTCAATTATGACTGTATTTAACTTAGCTTTCATCGTTAAAATTTATTTAGGTAATGGACTGTTTGCGGGGGGGGGGGCAGGGAAAAACAAAATTTTTCGAATTAATCCCGTAAGACCCTATAACGAAAATCGACCATTTTTATAGGATTTTCTACACTTTTAGATATAAAAAACTCTAGAAAATTTTATGTTAAAAAATTTGAATTGTCCGAATTATAAAAGCCCTTTTTATAACGGTTTAGCAATGAAACACCACTAAAACAACTTTTAAAAAGTTCTATATTAGCAACAGTTTATTGGCAAAGACAATTTTTTCGAATCCTAAGCCACCCCCCCGCTAACAAACCAGTACCTTGATTTCAAAATTCTTAACTTTACAGGTGGCCAAGGCGTTCCTCCCCGGCCTGCTCCGCCGCGACTCCGGCCACATCGTTTGTATCGCATCAGCCGCCGGGCTTTTCGGCTGCTCAGGTGGGTTTTTAGAGCCAGGGTAACTTGCAGAGATTCTTGGGGATTTTTTTACGATCCGACTATCCAATTTTTGTCGTAATCTCATTGAAAAATTCAATGTCTTTTTCGAAATTTCGAAAAACTAAATTTCGACAAAATGAAATTTCGACACGATGAATTTCGACAAAATGAAAGACATGCCCATTTTCAGGCATGTCCGACTACAGCGCCTCCAAATCGGGCGCCATCTCCCTGCAAGAGGCCCTAGAAGTGGAGTGCAAGGTATTGGGCAAGGAAGGCGTCCGCTTCACGACTGTCTGCCCGGGCTACGTGGCCACGCGGCTCACCTCGGCTGATAATCTACCGTAACCAGGCCTACTGTATTTTCACCATTTTTTCAGGGCCGCCCAGACGAAGGAGCTGATGAACCCAACTTTTGTTGCACAGCGGATAGTCCGGGCTGTGGAGCAAGAGCAGGGGCTGTTGTGTCTGCCGGCGACGTTCTACTTCTTGATTGCGATTAAGGGGTAGGTAGGGGTGGAAAGTGGAGCTAGTCGTAGCTGAGAGCCAAAAACCGGTTTTTCAACTTTCACCATTTGCTTACACTACGCTACGATGCTAACGTCGCAGTGGTATCCGTCTATAGGAGCTGCGCGTAGCTGAGGGCTCGAAAAATAGTTTTTTTTTCACAATGTCAATGGCCGCTACACTACGATATGCTAGGCTACGCCACACTACGCTATCTACGCAACGCTACGATACTAACCTCCCAAAAGGCATCCGTCTATAGGAGCAGCTCGTAGCCCGGTGCCAAAAACAATTTCTCGAATTCCACAAATTTTCAACCGTCACTACGTTACGCTACGTTACACTACGCTGCATACCAACCACTATAAAAGCATCCCAGTCCCGGGTGGGCCCCCCCCGAAAACCTGGATTTCCATGGAAGCGGATATATCGGGAAATGGGATCCCATTTCAGCGTGCTGCCCCGCAGCCTATACCAACGACTTCTCGTCGCGTTGCTGTGGAAGGAGCAGCAGGAGGAGAACACTTTATACGGGTATGTAAAGGGGGTACAAAGGTCTCTCTCACTCTCTCTCTCTCTCGCCCCCCCCCCACTCTCTCTCTCCCCCCCCCCCCCCCTTCCCCCCCTCCCCCCCCTCCCCCCCCCCCCCTCCCCCCCTTTCTCTCATTCAAACTATTAAACCTAAAGCCACAAATTTTCAGCTACAACCGTACCCCTCACCCCTCGCAGACACCACCCGTCAACCCGTTGAACAACAATGTTTTTAAGGGCGAATAAAATTTGTATGTATTTAGTGCAAATAGCCAAATAAAGTCATTTTCTAATTTTGGATTACTGTATGCTGGACACATTTTAGGGGCGTCACCACAGGGAAAGCTTAAGAATAGGCTTGACTTGCGCTTGGGCATAGACATAGGCTTGGGCTTTGCTTAGGCTTAGGCCTAGCTAGGGTTGACTTAGCTAGGCTTGACTTTGGCTTAACGTAGGCCTAGCTTCGGAATATCAAATTTTAGGTTAGGCTTACTTAGCGTAGACTTAGTTTTGGTTTAGCTCAGGCTTAGCTTGGCTTAGTTAGGCTTGCTCTTGGCTTAGCTGGCTGGCCTAGACTTCATGGAAGTATTCATTCCTCATTACGGCATAAATCCTCGGGGGCCCAGATCTGCTGTTGGCTGTTCCCCGTGGGAGTAGTAGGGAGAGGGCCCATATTCATTAGAGCGTGGCGGGGCCCAGAGGGGCGCTGAAGAGCCGCGAGAGGACCCATTAGGGCCCCTGGACAGGTGGGCGAGAGAGTGGAAGCGAGAGAGAGAGAGAGAGAGAGAGAGAATGCCGCTAGACGAGACGCGCGAAATCAAGGGACCCAACGGGCCCTGGAGGGCTCAGCCCCAGAAGAGGACAGCGAGACAGCGCGAGAAGCGAGAGAACCTAGGGCCCAGCCCGTTAAGCCCCCACCCAAGGCCCTGGGGCCCAGCAAGAGGGCCCAGACGCCCCAGGCAACTTGTAGAACCCCGCGCTGAAAAATTCGAGAAATGAGGCGGAGGCGGGGCGAGACTTCGCTGGGGTAGACAAGTTTGGGCCCACGCGGCGAGAGAGAGAGAGAGAGAGAGAGAGAGAGAGAGCACCGGCTAGAGAAAGCGGAAAGGGGAGAAGCGTTGGCTGGCGTGGCCGGCGGGGTGGCTGCACCTCGTCGCCTCGAGCCATCTCCGCTTCGCGTAAATCTTCGGGGAGCCCACGACGGCGAGCAGTACGACGACGTCAGGACGATGGCCAGCAAGTAAGTAATATAAATATAATATTATTAATGTGAAATAAGGTATTATATGATTTTTAAAGCTGGAGGAAGTTTTCAAGGACCAAAAGGCCAAAATAAACAAAATCGCAGCCCTTTTTATCCCCTCGAAGGGCTATTGATAGGGTTGTTATACGAGTTGATTCGTTGACGAATTGATTCGTCAAAAATTCAAATGAGTTGATTCGGCAGCGAGTTGATTCGAATAAGCCCCGATTCGCAACCGGCGAATGGAAATTTCAACGATTCAATTCGCCAGCGAGTTGATTCGAATCGCGATTTGATTCGCGGCTAATTTGATTCGTTGCTAATGAATCCGCAGCCAAACGAATCAATTCGCTGACGAGTCGATTCGTCAGACGAGTTGATTCGTTGGCGAATCGATTCGTTGCCCACGAATCAGAATCGAAACGAATCGATTCGTCAACGAGTTGATTCGTTTGCCGTTCTGA